CAACTGACCGCTCGCTCTCAACCATTTGGGTCAAATGGAGCAAGGTCCGTTTTGTTCCGCTATGATAGGGTGCGTTTTACCCCAAAGGTCAATAAATGCAATGAAAATGTTGGACTTAACAAAGCGCGTGACTCCGAGTGAAAACCTGTTCCTCTGTATTTTCACACAGATAATTGGTCGTAAATGGTAAGTACAATACATGCAAAATATCTTCCCTTGCCATTTTACAAACAGACTATGTGACCGTACCATAGACCACAGTGGTAAAACAAAATTCAAATTGCAGACGCACAAAAGTTACGGCCCTGGAAACTTCGAACAATGGCGGCTTAGACATCATCTAGGCCTATTCGTTCTAAACCACAGTGTACAATAAACATTTTTGGATCCCGTTGACACTGCTTTGAGCTTGTCTTGTCTCTATGTACCAGGCGATGAAAGTCGCCTTCCGATTGGATACAACCCAAAAGTCAAGAAAAGGTTAACTAAATATTGAAATCCCATGAGTAGTGAATATTTACAGGTATAGTGTACTAAGTAAACACGAAACCTATATAATAGAACAAACTACATTTGTGGAATGAAGGGAGAGATATCACTTCAGTAGAGACAGGAATACCAGGCGAAAAGTGTGCTTCTGTACAACAGTTGAAGTAATTCATTATGGTTGTGTTTCGGGCCGTAGGTTTCCTTGTTTTAAGCATGATAATATTCCAACATAAACCGGTATTTGGAAGCAAGATTTTGGTCGCTGCTACCTCTGGAATGTCCAGTCACATGATTTCTGCGTTGGAGATTGCTAAGACTTTGTCCGCACGAGGAAATAGAGTCTGGCTCATTATCGAAGAGGAGACCTACAACACATACGTGCATGGCCGTATAGAAATCCCCGATCAGATTAGAAACGTCTTCTTTAAGCTTATGTCTGTGTCCCACAAGGACGGAGACATTTACCTTCGGCGATACATTTTTAAGCAGTTACGGGACAGCCAGGCCAACTCGGCCCTGCAGTATCGTACTGAAGCCGAGGATCGCGAGATGGAAAAGCGCCTCGGTGGCAAAAAGGTTGACGTCTTCAAAGCGTCGAGTTTCGTCATCGACGACATGCTTGGAAACAAGGAAGTTATCGAGAATCTAAAGACAGTAGGATTTGACATGATAATCGGTGATGTGGTGTCTTTATACCATGTATTTCTCAGCCAAGTTCTCAAGGTGCCGTGCATTCAATTTGGCTTGACCTCTATGGTACCATCGCAGCATGACCGTTTTGCTTTCAACCCAAGTTATTCAGCCTACATGCCCGAACGTCTGAGCTCGCTCACCGATGTCATGACTTTCCGAGAACGCACAACAAACGCCCTCTTATACTTGGTCACGGGCTACTTCTATTATCATTACATGCTGACACCAATGGACGCTGTTTTGCGTAAGCGCAACATCAGACCAGATGCCAACTTTGGCCAGCTCCTCTCCGAAGCGGCCATGTGGATTTTCAACTCCGATTTTGTGTTTGACTTCCCCCGACCCTTGAGTCCACACGTCAAGTTCGTCGGCGGTGTCCTTACGGGTCCTTCAAAATCACTTGATGAGGTAACTCGCTTCACGATACGATTTTGATGTATCCCTTCGCTACTGTGTCAAGATGGTCATAGATGCTCGAAGAAAACCCTCGCAGAGAGCGCTGGGGTGGATCGCCGAGTGTTAGGCATTAAAAGTAGGGGGTTTGAGTCAAAACTTGTTCGTTCTGATACCAGATTGCCTCAGTATCTTACCGGGCTTGCCTTGTCTTGAACCAGTCTCCCATCTAAAACGGTGCTGTTTCCTATCCGCCGCCGCAGTGTGCTATCATAGCATTGTCCTAACGAATATCTCTGTACCCCTTTCATATTTAATCTGTATAACATCTACAATTTTGAAAAAGCTGGTCCGTTAATGTGAATGATCTGTTTATTCTTCTAAAAGGAGTGGCAGTCGTTTGTTGATGGCGCCGGTGAACATGGTTTTGTCATTATGGCATTGGGCACTCTGATAAGCGATGAACTGACGGACCAACAAGCTGAGAGCATCGCCTCAAGTCTAGCGCTGCTCCCCCAGAAGGTGGCCTGGAGTTACAGTGGAAAACTGCCCAAGACTCTAGGCAACAAT